TGTAGCGACGAGCGTTGGGGGAAAAGCGGCAGTTCTCTGCTGCAAAGGTCTTAGTCATTTCTCCTTGATTTAAACATAAAGAAAAAACTCTAATTGTTTGCGAAGCCTTGTCTAGGCAAACGAGTTGACTGTGAACTTGGTCTAAAGCGAGCTCTGCTGGTGATTCCTAGGGTGTGCAGATTTATCTTTTCTGCATTTACTTAACCTGGCAGTGAACTGCACGGGCTGCCATTTGTTATCCAGAGACAAGACTTCACCTCAAGCAAGGACTGTTCCACAAAATTGCAATAATTACCCAATAACCTTCATAGCAAATATTATTATTGAAAAGACATTTTTTTGGGGAGGGGATATAGGAAACATTCCTTATGCGATTCCTTATCCTTGCGAATTTTACACGTTCTTTATGTCAGATTTGATATTGTTTGTGTGTGTAGCCACAGACACATGTGACTGTGATGGTCCAAGTGTATTTGCCTTCCAGAGAGATATTCGTGAGGATGCTTTAATTCGAAAGGAATAATATTTTCAACGATGACCAGGTGGCTGTGGGAGATGTGGGTTTGTGCTCTGGCTAGCAGCTCTAGCAGCAAATCCGTGAGATTTTAAGGGCAGGAAAGAGAAAGGACAAAGAAAGCAAAGTGATGTCTTGACTTGGCCAAGAGATTTAGATATGTCTGCGTTTAATGCGTTGAATCTGTATTTGCGGGGAGGGAAAAGGCACTGCCTCAGTATCCAGGGTTTGAAATCGAAACCTCATGATCCGCCCATCATGATCTGTTCCATTCAATTTCCCATGGAGCAGATTGCAAACCCCTTCATTGTCACCCTTCCACAGATACACACTTATTGAATGTAAGGAAACGGCAGAATAATAATTTCCCCATAATGTTCTGCAATTAGGGCGTTTGCATGGTTTAGACAAGGCTGCAGAGCTGTAATTTACGGATGACTTTCCACCGGGTTGTTATACTTCTGCTTTAGAGAAAGTTATGCCTTGCGAAGTCACTAGTTACACAAATTAAGGGAGTTGCCTAATCTTTAATTGTCCTTATGCTTAGACATGACACACTGTACTCAAGTATTTCTTTCAAAGGATTAAGTAAACTGTATTTCAAATTGCATAACACCCCTTGCCATGCCTAAAGTAAAACAAACTCGCCTGCATTAATCCCCCAAACAGAGCAGAAAAATAATGTGCACAGATAAGACCTCTCTTCTCATTCCCAGCGATTATTCTCCATGATATTTTTCCCTCGGAAAACAATTCGGACCTGGGAATATTTTGGTAAAGTTCGGCAGGCTGGGTTCGCTTGAATTTCAGATGTAAAGCGGATTAGAAAAATCTGACTGCGTTTCTGGATTTGAATGGCCTCAACCGTGCTGCTCGGGAGAGGGCAGGGCCAGAGATACGGAAAACTTGTCGCTTCTAGCTAACTTTCTCTTGTCGTGGAGAGTTTCTTGCAGTACGGGTGGGTGGGTTTATATGCTTGTGGGTTTGGTTGTTTTTTTTCTTTTCCATACTTCGCGAATCTGTACACTCCTTTATGTGGAATGTGGTCCAGAAGCCACATTCAAAAACGTGAAAATCCCTAGTAGCAAACCTTTTCGCCCTAGACAATGAAAAATTACTATCTGCGGTGATATCCAGGTTCCTAAAATAGTAGTCGAACGAGTGTGAGTGTGTTTCTGTATTCACTGGATCATTCAAATAACGCAGCATTGTTGAATATTGAGTAATCGCGAATGGTTTGTGTCTAGTATCATTCCCGTTTACAAGCGAATTATATTCCTTGGAAAAGGAATATAAAGCCCAAACTTTTAAAGGGTTTTCATGCTTTTACTTAAAACTATAAAATTTTATGGCATATAATATAATGCACGCTAATCATACGTAACTTTCTGGTATTCCTATTGACAGAAATGTGACAGCTAGTGCACTATAAAATCTCCAGCTGTTTATTACGGAAATTATTTTCAAATGTGCATTTGGATATATAATTTTAAAGTCTTTCTTATTTAAAAAAATAAAAAGTGTATGCATATGTGTTTGTTTAGTGTTGAAAGGAAGGATACACAGACACAAAGGCTTCAGACTCCGTTTATCTGACACAGGAGGTTGACTCTAAATACTAAATATTGTAAAACTGTGAGATATTTGAGCTAAGCCAACGGTTTGTACAACCGTTTCTTTAACGTTAAAGACAAATAAATAAATTAAAAATAGTATTCAGTCAGCAATGTGCAGACCTTGAAGAGGTACACAACAACCTCACCCACTTGTACCGTTGCACCTTTCTCTCATTTTCAAAGTAACAGATACAGCCTAAACCTCAATATTCAAAGGAGATAGCACTAGCAAAATAAAACAAAGCCTGTCTTCCAGCTCTCCTCAAACCACCCTGTTCTTTTGCAAACCTGACTTTATGTCACATGAAGGAAAACAATGTAATCTGCTGAATCCCTGCTACTCCAAACCTGAGCAGAGAAAGCGATACTCACATCTGGCTTGAAGATAGATAGATGAGATATGTATATACAAACATATATTTTTTGGAAGCAGTGCTCAAGTCTCTTCCCTAACTAGTCAGTTTGTGCCCCCTGAGATCACTCAGCTAAGTAACAGCTCTGAGGGTAAGATCAGGTCTTAATGCTACCCAGAGAAAGACAGAGTTCCTTTCACCCTTTCATTCATGTTTTCATTCAAGTCCTGGAAATTCAAAGACTAAAGTAAAATCCGGCCATAAAGTTTATTGCTGAGTAATCACACTCTAGTGAGAACAGTCCACTTAAATAAAAAGAATGTTGAAGTAAACACGCAGCTGGGGCCTACCCCACAATGGCAGCCAGCAATATAAGGGAGAGAGGGAGAGAGCAGAGCTAAGGGGATATTTACAATCTTCAATAAAGCAAGCCCGTATTTCATAATTTGCAGCACTCTAATGACCTGTAGTCTCTTGTATTAATGCTACAAGTTACAGTCAATTGGTTCGCTTTAAAAAAAAAAAAAAAAGAAAGAAAAAAGTCACAGGAACATATATCTATATACACACGTACACACCCTTTGTATACATAAATACACTGATATTAGACACACATATGCATGTGCATGGCTTTACACGGGCACACACATTGAGTTGTACATGCATGCACACACGCGCATAATTTAAATATATTTATACTTATGCAATTACGTATAAGAACTGGGAAAAGTTATAGCAATGTTATAAATGCACAACCCTGAAACACACTATACACTCGCAGATGGACATATATACATAGCTACAGCCTTCTGCACAGCCCAGTGCCGAAAACAAGAGTCTTAAGTGCCCAGTACAGTCTGTGCCATCTTAATACTAGCTCTGATGTGCAACATATTTAGCCAAACCAAAGATTATTAACGTATCAGCATGCCTTCAACTCTATCACGCCTACATAAGACACTGCCCAGATAATATCAAACCTTATCTATTTTGTTTCCCCCTTTTTTTAATCGCCTGCAGTAACTACTCCTTGCTAAACAAAACCTCTCCAAAGTTGGAGAGTCAATTGGAGGAAAGGAAGTAATTATCTTCTGCGGTAGTCAAAGTGATTAAAGTTAGGCCCCAAAATCCATCTCTGCCAAAGTCGCTTATTGTGGTTTACTTTGATTTGATCGTTAAAATAGAGAGCTAGCTGCTGCGAGTGAAGGAAGGGGGGGGGGGGGGGGGGGGGGGGGAGCGGGGAGGGAGGAATTGCATCGCAACCTGGATCTTTAGTGGTTGATCCTGCCTCTCGGGCTCAGTGGGACCGTCCTGAAAAGCTCCAGGCGGAGAGGAAAGGAAAGGGAAAGGTAAAGAGAAAGAGAAAAAGAGAGAGGCGAGAGGCAGCTAGAGCGAGCGGGAGCCTCGGCATCCCCACTGTCCAAATAAACTTCAAGGAACTTGTGCACAAAACTTACCTTTGACTTGCAAGGAGCCATTTTTCATACAGTATTGAGAACTTGTGGTTTGGATACTTCTGTCCCTAAACCTGACAATTTGAATGGCCAGGAGGCACACGTAGCCTGCAAAAGAGTCAAATGAAGTCCAGCGTCAGTGAGATTATATGTTATGTGGTATATAATGTTGGATGTCAACTCCCCAAAACCATAAAACTTACTTTAATGGCACCACGTGACTTTTTATAGCCAGTGAGCCTATCTGTCTGTGCTATGGATGATTTTACGATCTAATTCATAGACAAAACCCTATTCATTTGGCACCCAAATGTCATATAGCCGGAACTGGGGCTTATAAAGTTTACTGTTTTATAACTTTTAAGGGAAGGCATCAATGTAACCCGTCAGTAAATGTGCAAATCTTTAGTTGCTCTTAGAAGCTCAGAAGAGTTAACCATTCAAGCTCTGATGGGGTAAGTAACATTACGTTTATAGCAAACTAATTGTAGCGAAGAAAACCAAAAATCTTTAAAGGGCGAAAAGTGGGAATGTGGCTAGTGAGGGTTATTAATAGACGCAGAGGGCTCGGAGGTGTCTGTCCTGCAAATATACTTATTGAAACCACAGGAGAAAATCTAGAGCGATGCAAACACGTCTTGGAGTTAGCAGCGTGTTTTAACAAAGCACATGGGTGGGTGTTCTCTTTTTTTTTTTCCTTAACCATCAACAAACTTCTAACAGCTGATTCACCCACAAAGGGTGTTGATTGTGGTCCTGCGATGCAGCTTTCCATCTAGCGAGAAACCAGTAAGAAGGTACTTGTGGTCAAACTTTCAATTAAAAATAGTGGTAGCGGACAATAGCAGCACCTACCATTTGCAACGTGCAGCAAGAGCCAGGTAAAATAATATTACAAACTCTGCATGAGTTAATTAATTTTTTTTTTCAGAGGCAAATCAGGAAGCACAACTTCTTGCTTTGCACAAACCAGGTCACGAAAACTTTACAATAGAAAGTTTATTTTTTTGTTGATTTCCAGTCATTTTTTTTTAAAAACAAATAATAATAAAAAAAAAGCTGATCACAGTTTGCTCAAACAGCCAGACTTTGACTATATTTGTAACTTTGTTCACAAAAAACATACATCACAGAAGCTGCGCTTAATAAGAGCCACTTCTAAGAGTTCGTGCAAAGAGTCATATACAAAGGCACAGCAAGGACATACTGCTTGGAATCACAGTTTTCGTCACAGATTCACTATTCACTACACGTAAGACAAGTTCAGTTGATTTCATTATTTCACCTCTACAACAGCATTAATTACACAGGAATTATATAGGTAGTTTGAATAAAAATATTTTTAACAGCTTGGAGCTATACAGACATTAACACTTGACCACACATGCACAGTTAAGCAGGTTGAGTGCAACACATAACATTTGTACTAAACCGGGGGAGGGTTTCTTTCTCTCTCTCCTTTTTTTTTTCGTTCCTTTTTTTTGTCTTTTTTTTTCTGTTTAGTTTAGTTTTGTTTTAACAGTTACTTCAAGTAACACAGCTCGCTTCATATAAATAAGTTAAAACATCTATTATTTTTTCAAGACAAAGCCATTCAAGACAAAGAAATGTACGATAAAAGCAGATCTACTTATACACGCGAGAGAATGGTAATAAACAGGCTCATGATTAAAAGATGAATAAGGGTGACAAGAACAGGGTTTCTTCACAGAAGTAACACAAGGAAGTTTTAGAAAGTCAACTTAGTACTGACATGAGACGCAGGGTCAGCTAATACTGCTCAGTACTTTTAATTGATCAAACGCTCAGGGACGGAATGCCCCTCCTGCAGCTGCCATGCTCATACTTTTCAGCTTATTATCCTTTTTCCATTTCATTCTCCTGTTTTGGAACCAGATCTTTATTTGTCTCTCTGAGAGGCAAAGAGCATGTGCTATTTCAATCCTTCTTCTGCGGGTCAGGTATCTATTGAAGTGAAATTCCTTTTCCAGCTCCAAGGTCTGATAGCGGGTGTAAGCAGTCCGAGCCCTTTTCCCTTCTGGTCCCCCTATGTTGTCTGGAAGAGAAAAGTACATGATTTAGATTCTCAGCAGCCGCTCGGATCTTCCGTGACTTACTGCAGCTACCAGCGTCCAGGACCGTTACTCTCAGTCCTGCTTGGTTTTGTTTCTGGTTTGGATAAACGCTCAACAAGTTTCCTCCTCCAGCCCCTTTTAGGAAAGGCTTGGGGGAGGGGGATTTGGTGGTTTCGGTGAGATTTCGCTTGCATTTAGCGTTCGAATTTTATTTTTTAATCGAATTTTTTGGGGTCATTTTTGGAAGGGTAACACCCCACCCCTCCCGCCTTCCGCAGATAAACTGTTTTGGAGGATGCTTCTTCTGCTAGCTGTGTGTTCAGGGCTGGGAGAGCAAAGCTGAAGCTTGCAGCCCTTTCCCACGGCTGAACTGGGGAAGGCTCTGGGAGGCTCCTAGCCCCCGGCTGCTCCCCCAGCACCCAGGGCAGGGCAAGTACCCAGGGCGGAAAGTTGCTCCGCTTCCCCGCTCCCTCGAGCCCTCTCCCCGGAGTTTGGGTCTACTCGCCCCTCCTCCCCCTCCCTACGGCTTCCCAGCAGTGAAAACTGCCCTCCTCGCCCTTTCCTATTCTCTTTTTAATATGGCTCGGCAAAATAAATGGGGTCAGCCGCGCGGTTCCCACTGGAGGAGCCCCCTTCGAGAGGAGAGCCGGGAGCAGCCTCTGCTCCCGAGCCCCTTCTGGAAGGCTCTTACTGCTCTCTCGCTGCCCGCCGGGGCCGGCTCTGGGAGCCAGCCGGGCTGGGTTACTGGGGCCGGGCGGGTTCTTTATATTTCTTTCCATGTTTTTGAAGAGGGGACACGGCTCTCCCGGAGAAGGGAGCCTGTTTCCCTGAGAGCAGAGTTGTGCTGTGTGAAGAGGCTGCCCGCTCTCACGCCCTCCTCTCCCCTCTCCCCGACCTTGCTCGGCACAGCCACCCGGTTTACATTAAATCCTCCTTTTTCGCCAGAGAAATAAAGAAAGAACAGGGTATTTGCTTTACCATGACTTATGTGCAGTTTTCGCATCCAGGGGTAGATCTGGGGCTGTGAAGGCTGGGCTGTGCTTTGGTCGGTCGGGGCACTTGCCTGCTCGCTGCTTGCTGGAGTGTCTTCCTCAGTCCCGGATGAGGTGCCAACCCCGTCCCTGCTGATGTGCGTGTTGCTGCTGGAATTGGACGAAGTGCTGGTGGAGTTGGCGAGGGAGTTTTTCACCCCGTGGTGACTCTCGCTGGTGACAGGCGAACCGGCCACGGCGGTGCAGGGCAGAGGGTCGGGGGGAGGCGAGTGGGAAGCCGTCGCGGGCTGGTTGTACCTGGGCTCTGTCGAGGCAGAGGTGGTGTTGGCCGGGTAACTGCGGGGTCTCTCACTGGCACCAAAGTGGGTGGAAGCAGAGCGCCCGACGCTGAGGTCCATGCCATTGTAGCCGTATCCGTACCTGCCGGAGTGCATGCTGCCGGAGTCCCTGTATTGCTCGCTCACCGAGCTGTGATCTCCATAATTATGTAACGGGTAGTCCGGGCCATTTGGATAGCGACCGCAAAATGAGTTTACAAAATAAGAGCTCATTTGTTTTTTGATATGTGTGCTTGATTTGTGGCTCTTGGTCGTTTTGTGCGTCTATAGCACCCTTGCACAATTTATGATGAATTATGGAAATGACTGGGACATGTACTTGGTTCCCTCCTACGTAGGCACCCAAATATGGGGTACGGCTCCACATCACGTGCTTTTGTTGTCCAGTCGTAAATCCTGCCTGATGACCTCTAGAGGTAAACTCGTGCACTGGTGGGGGAGTTGGGAGGGCGCGGGCGGCCCCGTGCGCGCCGCCGCTGCGCGCCGCCGCCGCCACCGCCCGCCCGTCCGCCGGCCTCCAGCGCCACCCGCTGGCGGCGAGGGAGATGGCGGCGGCTCCGCAGGGTCGGCCCGGGGTGACGGCCCCCGACGGCGGCGCGGAGCGGGGCACGCCGCAGCCGGCAGCGGCGGAGGGGCGGCGGGGTCGGCAAGGCCAGCTCCTCCGCCGCGGCCAGCGGAAAGCTCGGCTTGCAGGGCGCGCTCTGCTTTGTGGCTGCCTTCGCCGCCTTGCGGGGCTTATTTACACCAGTTTACAAATTCTGCGCGATCCATCCTCGGGTGCTGGCCACGCTTATGTCCCTTCTCTCTCTACATATATATCTTAATTTATTTTTCTCCCCCCTTTTTCCCGTGCCGGCGGATTCGAGAGGCACCCGGTTCCTGCCAATGCGAAATGGCAGGTACCTATGAAAGACAAATATCGTGCAGCGTTTTTCCTACTAGGGGGTCAAATTCCAGGCAGCTTTAAGGCCGCCGCTGTTTTTCCACCTCTCGGGAAAAAAACAACACCCAACAAAACCAACCAAACCTCTAAATGCGGCGGTAGCCATTTTGCATTAGTGTTTTCCAGATTTGGGTTTTAAAATGTTTAGAGCGGTAGCCCAAATCGCGCTGTCTTCCAAACAAAAGAGCCTCGATGCATATACAAACGTATTTGTACACAGCTTCACACGCACACTCACGCACACACAACATACTATAGATATAACATATATATTAATCAATATTTTCGCTGAGCTCATTTTACTTGCACAGAACGCGAAGTGAAAGCCTCTTATGGCAGCTACTTTTCTCTACAGTATCTATTTATTTTTTGTTTCCAGTGCTAAGAAATGCGAATGTAAATTAGGATACCACACAAGCGGGGAAGAAGATCACCGCCTTAATGATAGACAATTTTCTTTTAATTAAAAATAAAGAAAACAAAATAAAAAAGATCGACCCAAGCCCCCGAAGCCCCAAGAAATGTAGTCCATAATTCAAAGCCCCTTCAGTGTATAGCTGAGCTCACCGAAACCTCAGTGTAAGCTCAACGGGAACCACAGAAATTCGCCAGCCTCAAAACCTCTTCCCTCGATTCCCCTGAAGTTTAACGCCGAGTTTTTACTTTAATACCAGTAGTGCACATTAGGCAGTTTAGCGGCATTTAAAATAAATCTCTCTGCAATTCATCTTCGCTTTAACTGCAAGATTATACTCAGGGGTTTATTTTTTTTTAAAGGATTTTTCTTTTCCTTTTTGCTTTTTAAATATCTTGTACATGCATAAAACTTTTTTTCCTCCCCTGCAGACCATAAGCTCCCAAACATAGCATAACGAGATGGCCCGACGTAGCGGGACTTAGCAAAACCAGAAACCCAACATTTTCTAAAATCTCTCGTATTTCTACAATATGAATATTGTTAATTAAAAAAAAATTAAAAATCCCTCTCTGATCTCTTCTCGCACAGGTACACCAGGGACACTCACCCACACACAGATGCTTACCGCAAACATTTAAAAATCTGGGCCATTTCTCTAAGACTTTAAGCAATGCTATCTATGCTTTGGGGAGGTGGTTATATACATATGTGCCTGTAGCTCGCAAGCTAGGACTTCCACATATATTAAAGAAAGTCACAGATGATTGCAAAGGTACATCTTTTAACCAAGCCTTTGAGGAATTAATAGACTGTGACAAACCTACAGGATTTTACTAGCAGAAGGAACACAAAGTATGTAATAGGAATAGTAAGAGCTAAGGAAAGGCCTGGTAGCATTTCTTAAAGGTGGTTCTACTCCCCTGACTTTTCCTCTGTTTCTTCGCTGCTGGGCTGTGTGGAATTTATGAATTTGTTTTCCTTTTTCCATTTCATCCGCCTGTTTTGAAACCATATTTTAATCTGGCGTTCAGTAAGGCAGAGAGCGTTTGCAATCTCAATACGTCGTCTTCGGGTTAAGTATCTGTTAAAATGAAATTCCTTCTCTAACTCTAGCGTTTGGTATCTGGTGTAAGTTTGCCTCCCTCGTCTCCCATGAGTTCCATATACTGTACCTGTAGAAGTAAAGACAAAACGATCGCATTGGACAGGGCCCAGTGATTTCAGACCAGAAAGAGTGATTACTATATTCTGCCTCCTTTTGCAGGCACAATCACAGAGGGGTGGGGGTGGGGGGTGAGAATTGCTGTGGTTTCCTGGAGGCTTTTTTCCCTTTCTTTCTCTTTTTGTCCCTCTTTTCCTTTTCCCCTGCCTGACCAGCTGTAAATGCGGATGTGCAGAATGCTTAAAGTGGTGGGATAACTGGGGTACAAAAAGGCTTTAAGGTGGACCTAGGGAAAGTGCAGTAGGTAGCACCCGTGTGAATCGCTGAGCACTGTGTACCCTCTGCGTGTTGCGAGCCTGCGTATACACACACATGTACAAACACACGTGCGATCCGGGGAGTTGCACGCATGTGTGTGTGTGTGTGTGTGTGAGCGTATGCTCGCATATGCGGGTGTGTTTACACAAACACGCTCTATTGCCATGGCTGTGACTACAGAGGGGATGTGATTTAAGTATAATTATAGACATCAGCTAAAGATCATAGAAGAGCCTCTGCCATTTGCTCCGGAATTTATTGCCCTTGAATGCAAAACAGCGTCAGAATGGTCTTGCAAAAAAAGTGTAACTCTCCAAAAGAGAAATGCAACCCACAGTCCAGCAAGCATAAACTCGGGAGGAGGGAAGCCATTAACAGACACTGAAAGTAAAAGTCTTACTATGGGATTCTTAAAAATAAGTGCCACCCCAATACATAACCCCCTCCTCCCCTTCCCCCAAGCACCCCTCCTGGTCAGAATAGTTCAATTACGTGAAGTTCACTCCTAAGAGAAAATCAGAAATGCGATGCCATGGAAGTGCGCCCATGGCCCCAGAAACGTGCTCTCAATCTCCAATACTTACAGGCTAATGAGCTGGGGGAGGGGGACGAGGAGGAATGTGCCACAAATGCATTAGATCCTCAGAACAGAGAGCATATTCCCTTCATCGCTCTCTGACACAATGAAGAAGCGGAGCAGGGGCTGTGGGGTGGCTTTAGGAAAGTGGTAAAACTGCTCTGCTCCTGGTTTTTCTATTTATTATTATTATTTTTCTTTTTAGTTTTGCCTACTTCCCAAGGATTCCCCTGTAACTTTCACCAGTGAACCCACAAGCTGGGCTCTCGGTCAATCATCCCAGGGTGCCAACGTGCCAGGTCTAAAATAACCTGGGAAGGTTTCCTGTTACACAGTGCCCTGCAGGACCCGTGTCTCTCCAGCAGCCTGTACTTTGTCTAAGAACCAAACCAAAAAATCTTGGGGAAAGAAACTTTTCCTTCCTCCCCCCCCACCCCCCCCCCACCCCCGCCTTCCCCATTGCATCCGAGTGCCTTACCAGCGCAGGAGTTCATCCGCTGCATCCAGGGGTAAACAGGACTCGTGTACTTCCGGTCGGTGCCTTCGTCATTTACAATTTTGGCTTGGATGCCGCTGGATTTGTACTGTTGATCGGGAGGAAAGTGCAGGTAGTCCCCGGCCCCCCTCTGTTTGCCACTGCTGGAGGGAGAAGCGCTACTAATCTCCTTGTCCGGATAAAAACAAGAGGCTCCGTACTCATAGGAAGCCCGATTGCAAGCAATGACGGTGTTGGACTGTTGGTAGAAACAAGGTGAGGTGTAAGTCTTGTCCTGCAGGCTGCTTGCCCCGTATGAAGCCGGAAAATGCCTGAGAGCATCATAGCCCGCCGGGTAAAGGGGGATCTGCCCGAGGAAAGAGTCCTGGCCCCCGGGCAGGCTCCCCGGGAAAGTGGGATTCACGAAATAGGAACTCATTTGCTCTTCCCCCTTGCCCGGACCGTGATTTGTTGTGTATTAGTACATCTGGCGATAACTATTAGGAGTCATCGAAGTGGTTTGTTTCTGGATGGCCGAGCGCCAAAAGCGACAGCAGAAAATAGGAGCAGCTGACGGCGGGGCGGCCAATGGGAGCGCGCGCGGCACCCGCTCCCCCGGGGCCGCCGCCACCGCGCCGCCAACTTACCGGCAGCCCCGGCCCCCACCGCGCCGCCCCGCGCAGCCCCGCGCAGCTCCGCGGAGACAGCCGCGCCCCCGGGCGGCACCGCCCCGCCGGCGGGAGGGAGCCCCATCGTAATAATAATAATAACAATAACAGTAATAGTAGTAATATTTCCAGGCAATGTGACAGCAGCGGACGGGGGGATCCTCCCCCACGGGGGGGCAGGAGGTGTGTGGAGAGGGGCGACGCGCCCGTCGCGGGGCCGCCAACTTTGAAGGGAGGGAGCCGCGTAGCTCTGTGGGGATGGTAGGTGAACAGCTCCGGCCCTCCGGTGGAAGGAGGGGGACACGAAGGAAGGGGGGAAGGAAGGAGGCAGCGGTGGATGCTGCGGGGGGGAAGTTTTGAGCAGAGGGAGCACGTGAAAAGGGGAGAGCAGCTTCGCGCAAAGCAGAGCGGGATGGGGTGGGGGGAAAGGCCGGCCTCTCTCCATTTTCCAACCGCTATTCCACAACCGCATCCCGGAGGTTTTAGCCGATTTTTAAATTTATTTCATTGTTTTTACTCCGCTGAAGCTTCCCTTCGGAGGCCGCCTCAGAGCCGAACCTAGCTTTTGTGAGAGAAACTAACGCGTTCTGCATGAAAGAGGTCTCATATCTTAATGAACACCCTCATAATTAACGCGGAGGTTTCGGCTGTGGTAGGAAACGGTGGGCTTCTGGAGAATGAGATTTTTGATTTGCACCAAGTTCCCTGGAAGGCCCCGGCAAGGGCTGGGCAGTCTCCCGGTGCCCCTGACCAGCCCAGCTAAAGTTCCACGTGTCTCCGCTCCCCGAGTTTCCCTCCGCCAGAGTCGAGCCGAGGGAATCAAACATTCAAATACGAAAACGAACCAGTAGAATTATTCCTAATTAATACAGCCCCTCTAATGAGTCAGCAGAAGCCAATCGGTTTCGTTGTTGCTCCGAATAATTTGATTAAACGCGGATGTGTGTCTTTAAGAAGAGGAAAAACACCAAACCAAATATCTACATGAAACAAACATTTCCGCCTCAAATTTTCAATGGCAGCTACCCCACAGCGGAAATAAAATTCTTGGCCCAGGGCAGGGACAGTAACAGTGCTTATGAAATTCGCTGAGGCGCTTTGAATTCAGCCATAACGCTGCAGTTCCTGCAGATAACATGAGGTTGCTCATTCCAAGCTGTGTTTACTCATAATCAGTGCCCATTACAACGGATTGAATAGCCCCTTATTTTAAAGGCACTCTGACGGAAAGTGGCATTCGTACCAGCCCCGTTTCCTAAAGTAACTTTCAAAAGAGAGTTTTGTTGTTGTTGGGAGACTATTTGCCTCATTTCCGGGGGCACATTACGATACCTATAAAACAGTAGTGAGTTAAAACATCGCTCCACAATAGTTTGTATTGTTCACAGTCCCAGCTGGACTTTCACATTCAGATGTTGATTGCCTCCATATTTTTCCCCCTTTTTTCCAGCTTCCTTAACCTCTTCATCCAAGCTAATCCATAAACACACCTGGTAGAATTACAGCTCACTAGCTGCGTGCTTTGGGAGGTCATTTCGGAAACGCGTATTTCCTGAAAGTCAGCCTTCTCCAGAAAAAGTTATTTTCTTTTTACTCAGCGCGAATAGTTACAAAAAGGAAACAACATCATCAGACAAGCATACAGCACGCTAAATAGAAAGGGGTTTTAAAAGAGCAGATTTTCACCAACACAGGTCAGAACGAAAACGCACCATGAAAAATGAATACTGTGGCAAGCGAAACCCACCGCCTCACTTTTTTAAAGTTGTGACCAGATGGGGTTTTTCAATCCATCACACAGAGACCAAAAGTAAAAAATCAAGCCAGGTTTACTTATATTTGCATGTTATAGAACGGTTACAGACGGGGGGGGGGTTCCCCTCTCTTTTTGTTTCTCTCCTCTTTTTCAAGTTATTGTTTGTGCTCAAACCAAAATGTCGCAAGGCCGACCACAGGTAGCGAAAACATTTCTTCTTTGGTCCCATAATATGGAAAGGACTGAAATGTTCACGTTTGCCTTGCTGGGTCGTGTTCGAGTAGTTACTGTGACAGCTAAACAATCTGCACTGCAATCTCCGCTTCAGTCACATTCAAGCGTCCTCTCTGCTCCTCCCCCTCCCCCCAGAAAACCCCTAAGTACAATAATCTGTGGCCCGCCGGATCTGCCGGGGAAAATGCCCTCCCCGGACACATTTCACAGCAGTTTCCCTTCACCGTTTCCCCACTCTGGAAAGCAGAAAGCCAGCCGCTGCATTTTTGCCACCGCAACAAAGTCACACTTGGCGATATCAGCGGATTTTATCAACCTTTTATTTGTTTGCAGAATGCCCCGCACCCCCAGCACCTCCTCGGCCGAGCACCTCACCGTCCTCCTCCCGCCGAAACTGGGCCCTCTGCCCCAGCCACCCTCGGATACAGGTGCGGGGCCAGTTACCCTCTTAAGCTTCAAAGCCTCCTTCTCCTTGCCTATAAACCCACTTACAAATCCTTCTCATGCTCGGCAGCGTCACCACAACCAACCTTTACCTAATAGCTCCTAATCCAAACAGTTTGGGCAAGCCGAACCGTTGTTTAGACTGGCGGGGTATCGGGAGCCTGGTCGGCAGGGGAGGCGGGCGGCTCCTCCCCAGCTTTCCCCGGTGATATTTTACAGTTGACACACACCGCGGTAGAAGCGAAGGGGAAGGGAAAGGAAAGGAAGGGAAGAGAAAGGGAGGGGAGGGGGCAGAGCCGGTCCTGCCAGAATATCTTGCCCGGGGGCGAGTTGCGATGCTGGCGTAAAAGACGGTTGGCCGGAATTATTTAATTATTTTGATTAACGTTACTATTTTTTTTTTGTATTTTGGGGGTATTCTCTTTGGGTTTCCCCCGAGCAGCTCTGCCCTTCGCAGGGCCCGCGGGGGCCGCTCGGCTCCGCTCCGTCCTCCGCAGTCCCGCCACGCCGTGGCAGCACTGAGCACCCCCTGCCTCGCAATAAATAATCCGGCGCTCACTGCAGCTTCAGTCCGGACGATACCGCAATGCAATGCAAATGCAATGCTTTATCAGCCCGGCAGCACAACCACAGCCGGGGATAATACTTAAAGCCCTCCGAGCCTCTCGCTCGCCGTGGGGAGGTGGGAGCGGCGGAGGGGAATGACTGGGAGGTTGTCCGGGGCGCTGTCCTCGGGGTCGGCTCACCCTCGCCGGCATACACCGTGGGGCACCGACCCGCTAGTCGCCGCTCCACCCGCCCCAGCGCCGCACGGTAACAGTCACAACAAGGAGAGAAAGGAAAAAAAAAAAAGGGGGCAAAAGCTCCGTCTCCGGCGCTGGGATCGGTTTATCCGTTCCGCGCAGCCGAGGCGTGCAAGCTATCCAAGGCAGAAAGCGCCAGGAACGCCGTTCCCACGAACCCACGGAGGGGCACGGGGGGTTTGCAGGCAGCGCTGGATCTGATAAAGAAAATCGAAGACACATTCCGCGCTGTTTCCCCCATCTAGAAATAACCTTTCGCCTGGACATGCCGGGGAAGCCAGGGGACATTGTGCTAACTTATGTGGGTTTTTTTCTGAAATACTAAAACATAAATTACATCTAAATTTCAGCCGTCGTAAATTAACTTTAAGTTAATGCTGCGAAATAATGAAAACATAAATTAATGTTTGAGGGGGTAATTTTTTTTGCCCCCTCACTCTGGAAAAAAAAACAACACACAACCAAATCCCTTCGGAATGATGCTGTAAAGCTGAATTATTAGAAAATAACCCGCATGTCACAGAGCCCCCTGGCAATTGCAACCAGAAATAAATGTCGTTAAAAAAAAAAAAAAGTCCACGGCTTCCTCGCTAAATAATAGAAAATAGACATTTTATTTTGGCATAATTTTGCATGCATTGGTAAAGACGAAATCAACCGAGCTGCAGCCACGTCTATTTTTGGCCACCAACGTTTCCACTTGCTTTAATTACACGTCTAATATTTAAACGTATTAAACTATGTTTCCCTGCTTACGGTAGTGTCATATACATTTCTCACCTTTTAGGTTCTGGCTCACAGGAGCCCCTGCGACTTTGACAGCTGTCGCTTTGGCTGCACAGGAGACGAATCGCCCTCCTTTTGGTGCCAGAAGAAGCAGGAAATTAGCCAGGTTGCAAGTTGAAAATCTGCCACGCCAGTGCTTTGAATCCAATATGCCACACCTTCCAGCGGGGGAACTGGAAATTGCCATCCCGGATCTGTGTTCTAGGCGGCTGCTTATGCCGAACCTCCGCACACTTTGTTCACTATTGCCTTACAAAGAACAAATGAAATGGGGATTGAAAGCCAGAGAGATCCGAAGCAGGACAGAGCTCAGCAAAAGAATGCGGCTCTATTCTCGCAAGGGAAATTATAAAAAAGTTCATGTTCACGGTTACCATCCACATGACCGACAACGACCAATGGAAAAACCGAACAACTCATAAAGTTGTATTGCAAAGTTGTAAATTTTCATAAACAACAACGGATTTATGGCCTTTTCCTCATCACTAAGAAGAGGCAGGTCTTAGAGAGGCGCCATCTTACCACAGAGGCAGCACTGGAGTTTTTTAAAAGACCTGGAGTTTGTACTAATTTTATTAAATTTGCAATTAGTAGGTTGAGCAGGAACAGAGTGTGGTAGAAAAGGGAAACTTCTGCACAAATGATACCCTAGTTCTACCTGTATTTACCCAGGCGAATAAAAGGACTTTTCGGATAAGTTTTTTAATTTTTTTTTATTATTGTTATTATTATTATTATAAAGTTTGAAAATTTCAGATCTCCTTGACATTACGTGGTACCTGGCAAACATTATACATTTTCTAAAGCGGGGGGATTTCCCCTCCTTTTTAATGCCCCCCTGCTGCCCTCGAAAGCCGCCTGCATACCCCGCACGTCCCACATACGTACCCGACCAGATCATTTACACTTGGAAGTTTCTCCCCGCACTTTCTGCTTATTACGAATTATTTCACTGCGCGCGATTTCGGCTCGCTTGTCGGCCGCC